AAAACAAATATGGAATTCTAATCAATTAAATGCATGCTAAGCCACTTAGAGGAACATGTACTAAGGTCTAAAAGTTACTTGAAATTCATGAGGAAAAAAAAAAAATTGGATAGGAGCTGGGGGCTTACCTCAGTGGCACAGTGCTTGCTAACATGTGTGAGKCCCTGGGTTCCATCCCCAGCCTGCCACCACCAGGTTCAATAAAGGGAAGATAAGATGAATGGGAATGTGATAAAACAAACAWATTAAAATGGCAACAAGAAACTTTAAGCTGTGTGCCTACGAGAGCTCCTTTTAAAATTCTTTAGATTGCTGCAGGTTTGAAAATTTTCATAATGCAATGTTAAAACTTGAAGAAATCTTAAAATATTCCCTAACTATATAATGCCTTTAATCCTATAGAAGCCTCACATATTAAACCAATTTCCTTAAACTGAAATAYTACCCAGTTCTTTATATTCTTAAAATTAACAAGTAGTTATCAACACCACCATTATTAATTCCATTAAAAATTCCAATAATTAAAAAAAAATCCTAATAATAAAATCACTCAAATCATTAAACACTCAAGTCTCAGGAAAATCTTCAGTAATAAGATAGTAGAAGTAATAGGGAAATATATTTAAATATATATGGATAGATAGATAGGGCTGGGAATATAGCTCAATGGTTAAGCACATCTGGGTTTAATCTTCAGTACCAAAAGACAAAGACAGACAGACAGACAGACAGACACACACACACACACACTCCAACACTGAGCTATATCTCCAGTACTTTTTTTTTTTTTTTTACATCAGGGCCGCACCAAGTTGCCAAAGGTGGCCTCAAACTTTCAATCCTCCTATCTCAGCCTTCTGAGTCACTGGGATTACAGGCATGCACCACTGCACCTGGCAAAAAGCCATATCTGAAACTACATATTGAAAAGACACATCACATACTTGAAAAACTTAACCCAGAATAGCTAATACTAATACACAGTCTAGTAAATTGAAATTTAAAATGAGGGGTTTTGAATATTTTAAAGTTATTTATTATTACCATTTGCTGTTTCGAGATGGGAGTCTTACTTATGTTGCCTAGGCTAGTCCTAAACTCCTGGGCTCAAGTGGTCTTCCTGCCTCATTCTCCTGAGTAGCTGGGAATATATGTGCTTGCCAACACAACCAGGCTTTGACAATTTTTAAAAAGCTACCTGGCTTGGTTTGTTTTTGATGTTATTTTACATTATAGCTTGTAAATAAACAGTATTACTCAAAATAGTCAAATACACCCATCAAGTAATGAATAAATAAAATGTAGTTATATCTGTACAATGGAATGTTATTTAATGTCAAAAGGGAATTACATGGGGCTGGAAGTGTTATTTAGTGGTGGAGCACACGCTTAATATACAAATGGCCCTAGGTTGGTCTGATGCCCAGAATTTAAAGAAAAAATGATATAATGATTCATGGTACAATTGGATGACTGTGAAAACATATTGCTAAGTGAAAGAAATTAGTCACAAAAGAGTATATATTATGTGATTCCATTTATATGATAATGCCCAGAAGAAGCAAACATATAGAGACRGAAAGTARATTAGCAGATATCTAGGCTTGGGAGCTTAGGAGAAAATTGGGAATGATTTTAGTAGGTGTGGGCTCCTTTTTGGGGTGATAAAAATAGTGGTAGCGAGCTTGCCTGGCATGCGTGCGACCCGGGTTCGATCCTCAGCACCACATACAAACAAGGATGTTGTGTCAGCAGAGAACTAAAAAATAAATATTAAAAATTCTCTCTCTCTCTCTCTCTCTCTCCTCTCTCACTCTCTCTTTAAAAAAAAAAAAAGAAAGTAGATGGGTGAGTAAAACCAGACAGGAAGACCAGCAGGAGCCAGATCCTAAGCCAATAAGAAACAGCTAATTAGGGACCAAAAGTCTTGAAATTAGGGGGACCAATACAGGAGAATGCTACAATGAAACAGTGAGCTAAAAAGAGAATTATTTGAAAACCTTTAAAAGGAATAGTTACCTTCTCAAAACCTCTCTTAGGCCCAGCAGAAGGCTACAGCCATGATTTTAACAGGGTTAGGRTTAGGGCAACTAGTTTTTGCAAAATGAAAATACTGTGATTACTCAAGRATTTTAATACAAGAGTGATATAAAGATATTCTCAGGCATATAAGCCTCAGAAAGTTTATGACACAGAGTTCCCTTTTGAAAATACYCTTGGAGAAGGATCTCCAGCAAAAAGAGAACGAGATCCAAGAGAACGAGATCCAAAAGAAAGTAACATGATATGAGAAGGATGAATAAAGTAACTTATTCAAATGTATTATTACTTAAAATGTAACAAACAAGAACTAAAAGTAAGAGATGCTGAAAGAAACAGGAGAAAAGGTATGCAGGGGTAATTATGTGTTAAAAAACTGGGTATCTATGTAAAGTTTATTGATAAAACAACCATGAATATGGGCTTAATAAATTACTCCATAAGTTTTACCATCAATTCCTAAATGATCTATGACACCATCACCCCCACCCACTCCCCCCACACGCACACAAAACCACTAAGTAATTAGAAGACTCCAACAGGGATAAAATTTCTCCGCCTTCCAGGAGGCCCTGAAGCAGGGGTAGTAACTGTGACCCTGCACCCTCATTTTTGACTGGTTACCCACCTGGGTCCGTAACAGGGAGCCTACTCTCAGCCATGGAACTCTCCAGCCCGAGGTATCTGTCGCCTGAGAAAGGACAAAACAGCAGCAGCTCAACTCTCTTCCCCAGGCTTCCATCTTCCATCCCTCCTTCTCCCACCCCGGCCTCCGCCTCCCAAACTCYACACCCTTCGACACCGCGACTTCTTTCGGACCCACATTCCATCTCAACTCCCCCGCCTCCTTAAGGCTCTGGTCCCTCAGTCCCTCCGCCCCCTCCGCCACATTCTGCTCCCCCAATTCCCAAGACCTCTTGGCCATCCCTTGCACATCTCAATTCCCGTCCCTYCTTCTCGGCTCTTTCCCTACAAGTCTCTCAGCCCCCTTTCCACCTCTGCTGCCTCAACGCCAGTACCCTGCTCTCCAGCAAACCCCTCCTGGGCTCCTCTACGCTCCTCAGCTTCAGCACRGATCCATTCAATTCCTAAACCCATTTCCCGATCCCGTACCTTTTCAACTCTTATGACCCCTGCCGCCTTCCTTCTTACCCCTTTCTCCCCTTCCCGGCATCCGTACCCTTTCCCCGCTCACACATCAAATCTCGGCTCCTTATCGGCCTCCGTACRCGGGCCTCAAGGTCTCTGTTTTGCATTCGCAGGCCCCTCGGGCTCTTTGAGACTCTTAAATCCCGTTGTTTCAGAGCAACTACAATATTCTCCAAGCGCCCTTCGCCGCGGCTTCGGTTTAAATTTCCTGCCGGCTCCGCCTCCCAGTGCAATAGCCTCAAATTTGCCCTACGGTGTCCCTGGGAGGACAATATTAATCGGGCCTATCCTTCCTTTCCCACTTCTACAACCACTTCGCCTTCTGCTCCAGGCTCTGAAGCTAGCTTTTCATAGCTCGCGGTTTCATTGGCTGGAGGACTTTGCGCCCTAATGGCCGGCAAGCTGGGATCTAATGGAARCATTTTACTGATTCTTCACACTGCCTGGTTTGAAATTTCTAGGAGTTCGAATAATAAATAACAGAATAATCCTAAGATTTATAGACTTTTGCAGTTTACCTAAAAGTTTCATATACAGCATTTCGTCTTCCCACCTTTGTTCCCCTTCTTTTCTCCATTCTCTACCTGACAAAAAAACTAACAGGTTATCTCCATTTGCCATTTGTTGTTCAATAATGTAGTACCCACCTCCCCC